CAACTAGGTAACATCATCAGTGCGAGTGCGGGGTTTGCTCCCTGTTTATATACAGTGGCTTGTCCTGCCAGTTTTTGTGGGGATATGATTTTTCTCCTTGGTAGTTCCTTGATTAGGGTATTGTTCTGTGCTTGATTGTTTGTCTGGTGTTAATCCCTGCTTATTGCCTGCTGGAGAGGATGTGTTCTGGTCTTTTTGTTTCCTTCTTAGCTTTCTTATTCTCTTTTGAATGTTGTGTAAATATGGATTATTTCTGTGTGTCTATTGATAGCTGGTTTGTCTGAATGCCAAGCTTCCAGGAATTCCCTAGCGCTTTGGGATTTAGCTTGGCCTAGGATGCTCAGAGTTTCCCAGTTGAAAGTATGGTTCAGTCTGTCCATGTGTTGTGAGATTTAAGGAGTTAAAGCTGTGCTCCATCTTGCAACATTCAAGGAGGTCTGATGGAAAGAATTTGTTCCTCAGGAAAATCATGTACCTGGTTAAGTGACAAGCAGGGGGCTATCACACTAAGAAGTCTAGACAACTGGAGGGGCTCCTAAACCCCCTTTGGACTCCCCCCTCCCCTCTCATTTATGGCACTCTTGGTCTCTCTCCTATTCCCTCCCCAGCTGTGTTGGCAAAGCAGGTTTCAACAGGTTGGTTCTTGCCTTAGTGGCAGAGTTCACACAACACACAACCCATGGTTAATTCAACCTTGCAGCTTGCTGGTGGCTTTAGGGGTTGCCTGAACCCATCCCATATTCAATGAATTGTGTGAACCTCGAAAATGGGTTGATTCAATCACAAAGTTCAGCATGTTGGGTGAACAAGACAACTGTAATCTCTTCCTATCGCACAACCCCCTCCTTGGACCACATCACAGGGCTTACTTCCAAAAACCTGGGCTTTGGTAGCACAACTTGTTTCCAAATCACAGAGTGCAGGCTAGCGCCTCCTCAGAGTAGCCACCCATGTTTCCAAAAGACCATCGGTAATCCAGCCAATACACCTGGATGCCCCCAGGTAGGAGAGGCGCTGGATCCTACCGTCCCCGGCCAGACTCATGCAGACCTAGACGGCCCAACGGCCGGGTCCCACGCAGCTTCCCCGTTCCCGGATCAACCGGGTCCTTCAGCCTCAAAAGCG